GTACTGATTTGTGAACTAAGTCATCTCGAAAGAACAAGATAAAGTACACAAACAATGTATACCCCTTTTATGTGAGCATAATTTATAAACTTTGAACTCTTAACGCCAACAGACAACACAGTGGTAAACGTAATTCACCTTTATGTGTAATTACAGTTAATAAACAATGAATCATCTCCTCGTAAGACAGGTAACAACTGCCAAGTCAGCAGAAAATGGCTTCCAGTTGCAGTTGATAAAACATAAAATATATTCCGGGCACAAAAATTGAAAGACACGTAAAATACAACCAATCTGTCTGCATGACCCGAATTCCACCAACTGTTCATATAACATTTTTTATCATATACTAGTATGTAAGTGTCAAAGGCTGAGATTTCTGAATTTGAGAAATACCACTTTTCTGCAGCTACTTCATGGCTCAACAAGGCTTTGTGCCAAGTATCTTGTTACACAGCACGTTAAATGACATTGTGAACGCATGCAGTTCACCCATGCATTTAGTCAACGAGCCTTGGTATCGCATGGCCGCCAGTTGATCGTCGAGTGCACTGGCACTAAGTGACTATTCGTCCCTATATTGTAGCTCCTGAAAGGCATTTAGAAGTTGGACAAGCATGAATTAGCTCAGAAACGTCGTATAAAGAATAAAAGGAAGTTGTTATTTATAAGAAGTACTATGTGTTCGTCCCTGCGTTGTGTTAACGCATGAAGATCCGGTTTGGAATTGATTTTCAGCAACCAATGCTTGTCGTAAGAGGCAATTAATGGGATCGGGTGGTCAGGCTCGCTGACATAGTTGACACATTTCATCGTATCCGAATTGCAGAAATTGATGCTCATGCTGTTGATCACTAGACTGTTTAGTCCAGACTCGATTATTTACACACCGTCGTCATATAGCTGTAATATTGCTGAGTACAGCCAACCAGCCAGCCAACCAATCCTGTGTTGTGTTGAGCCCACAATTAACATTAATTCATTCGATTACCAACATTTATGATCACCAACACTGTAAATATATGATTTCAGAAATAATAAATACAAGTATATCCAAAGTTTTCCAAGAACGGAATTCCGACACACATCATTATTAAGACAGGACTTTGTACTATTCATTACTACCCTAAAATCACGAAAATAGAAGTAACGAAACCCTTTCCACATCCAAAAGAAATCTCTGCCTAAAGTAGAGTCGATTGTACAGTTCTGACTAAATCATGAGTATGTGTAAGTTTTAGTGGTACGATGCTGTTTGTGAACAATCGATTCTCGACCAGACAATCCAGTGATTGTCACCATGTGATACGATGATAGAGCATGGGTTTATGAATCAATGTCAAATAGTGATGATATCAGGTGAGTACACTACTCTCAATAGCGCATATGTGATTCAATCGGTGCAACCATTGAAACGTCGGTGCAACGTCCTGAGAGGGTACGTCAATCCCAAAACATTCAAAGTAAAGTTAATCTCTCCACTTTTTAAATCGTAGAATATGTGTATATTTAATGTATGGCTAGATTTGTCTAAATTTGCTAACAGCTGACGGGATGATGTAAATCCAGCTAGGGCCCATGCAGGAAGCAAATGTACTGTAAGTCCCCGTGGTCCCTAGTATGGTGATCTACCTTCAGTTGTTTGGCAATCTATATCCTGTTTTTATATTGTGTTGTCCTCTTTAAAAGTATCGTTTTATGATAACATGCTGGTTTTACTTCAATATCAGTGATACACTGGTAGTTCTACTGTTTTTCGTCAACAGGCCTCAATTGTTCTCGTCACGATGTGTCTGAAATATTGCCGATGTGACGATAAATATTAACTCACTCACTATTTTTGCCCATATACATTTGTCTGAAAGAAACACTATACTAATAGTGAGTGAGTGAGTGAGTATGGTTTTACGCCGGTTTTAGTTACGCAGTTACGTGTTCGCAAAAGCTGAACACTTCCTACCCATACAAGGTCACACCTGAGAAACATATGAATCCCCATCCCCCCACACCTCCACGCACACAAACACACACGCACAAAATATAACAAAACCAATGGTACAGTACAAAATACGACTGTTTTTCCAAGATCATTCCCATCTAGCCATTGAAACGTCACATTTTCTACCATAAACCTGTTTGAAGGCTTGTTGAAGTCTCCGAAGTGTTGGGTCCTTCAGCCAACAACGTTTGCGCATGAGTCCTATGACAAATTCTCCAAGAGAGCATTCTCGCATGGACCTACATTAATTCCACATCTATATCCGGAAATACGCGCGCGGCAGCTCTCGACCATGGGGATATATTGCGCAAATAGACCTAACTAGGGCCCTACATGACCAAAATTATTTATACAGTTATAAACCTTTCCTTAAGAATACATTTGAACGAATAGGAGCAAATTGCAATAGCATGCATTTAATGGAAGCAAAATACGAGTAAAAACTAAACTCTAGTTATGCCTGAAACGATAAGTTCAAAGAAACAACGCTCTCTGTCCAAGATGGATATGTGTTTGATGCCTGACCACCATAAGCAAACACAAGTCGTCCTACTGTATTATAAGGCCCTCTAGGCTTTTGCTTTTCGTTTCATGAAGGTTTTCATTACAGATGGCATGATCGCACTAGGACAAACACGGTTCATTAACCTCGCTGACCTGTGACGTCCTGCATCAATTAGCCTCGGAATGAGTTCCCCTGCACATTAATGTCCCTCCCCCTACCCCCCTCCTATCCCACAAGGGGTCTGTCACGACGTGCTCTATACTACTGATCTTTCACTTATGACATGACTGTTCATGAAACAATTGTTGTATTGATGTTTACACATCGGTTATCCGAGGTTGTGTTGGCAGTGGGAACAACTACACACGTTTTATGCGCGACAGTAATAGAAGACAGACTTGGTATGATAATTTTCATTCAACAAATGAAAATATGAACACTGAAGCGCCGGTAAAATGAATAACGCAACCACCTGGATTTGCAGGGTTGTTTCAAAATACAGGCTGAACAATGTACATGTGTATCTACGGTGATTCAAAACAAAAGGCATGGTGAAGTTGTGTTCATAGTACAGATCCGTTGTAGAAGTGCTTGTATTTAATTAAAAATACGCTCAGAGGAAATACAGGAGTCCAGCGTATCAATAACGAGTTTCTTAAAAATGAAACATACACATTTATGGACAAAAACATCTTATTATTGCGTATAACGACGTTTCGAAGTAGATTCTTACACCGCTATCAAGCTAAAAGTCTTTTTTTGTCCAGCTGACATGCCGATCAAACATGCCGAGTTTCTTGGTAGGAAGGTAAGAATATGTTGCTTTTGTTGATGTTGATGTTTGTGGCTCTCACGGTAAACCTGTAGTGACCACTTGTCCTATGTCCAAGTACAAACTTTATGTGACTTCTTTGAGTGGCATTTTAGAAGTTGGGAAGTACAATATAGAACAAACTTTATGGATAACAACTTCTTTTTATTCGTGAGTGCGACGTTTCGATACAGATTCTTATTTGTACCGATGTCAGGTTGAAGTTTGTTCTATATTAAACTTTATGTGGACATCAATGTGTGTGTCATGTTACCAGGTTTCGTCAGTCTTGAGGCAGGGGCGGATACAGATTTTTGAGAAAGGCGGGGTGCACACTATTGAGAAAAGGAGGAGTGCACACTTCATTTTCACCTGAGTTTCACTGGTCATTTAACAAACTTTCAGCACAAAAGGGGGGTGAACCCCTGCACCACCCCACAAAACCCACCCACCCTCTCTGGATCCGCCTATGTTGTGGCAAGGAGCATATATCGTCATGACCGGTCTGGAATCGATCATTGACATTTACCCAGTCTGCCAAATAGATACTGTTTGGACCAACTTCACATTGGAGAATCTGGTTTAGTCAAGGCACCACCAACCTAGTCGTCACACACACATATGACTTGACAAGTGAAGTGTTCGCCTGATAAATAAATGTGAACATATAGTTCAAGACACTATTTGTACTGGATCAGCATTTTAACGAATACCTGATATCCACACAATTTTAATATTTGTTGTCATCGTACAAGCGGTTCTGCTTTTGCGAGAGCATTATGTCTCTTTCAATATGATGATGCAGGCTTTCTTTTAATGCCCTGCATCAATTTTGTCTCGTATCTACAACCTGTGTAATATACACCGTAGGTACTAACATGACACAAACTTTTGAAAACATGAAGATATGATTCAGGTTGGCAAAAGAGGAAGAGAAGAAGAGTAAAACCCCAATAAAAACAACCCCCACACTAATGAGATGACTTCATCCTTCCAAAAGCGGGGCGATGGGGTAACCTAGTTGTTAAAAGCGTTCGCTCGTCACGCCGAAGAACCAGTTTCGATTCCCCACGTGGGTACAATGTGTGAAGTCAATTTTTAGTTTCCCCGGCCGTGATGTTGGTGGAATATTGAAAGTAAAACTCAACCCACTCACTCACTCACCTTCCAAAAGTCAGCCTTCATCCTACCATTAACGTTATGTTTGTATGCATCTGTGCTTGGATAGGGTATGTTCACAATTCCTGGAACCTCATATCAATATTATTTAGCAGTATTGACTTCTAATGGTTTATGGTTTTTAGAAATACTAGTATTCCAGCAATATCACTGGACACCGGGAATGGGCTCCACACATTGTACGCATGAAAGGAATCGAACCTGCGTCTTTGGCGAGACGAGCGAACGCTTTAATTACAAGGCTAACCCACCACCCCTATATAGCACTACACATACATGTTCATAATATGCTTTATTTAATACACACTGCTATTTGAGGTTTGTGACAGATGCAATCTGAAGAAGAATGTGGAGACTGTTTATACGGATGTTATCATTGTTAAAGGAACAGGTCCCTTGCAGAAATGTAGGGTATCTTGTTGACAACTGTTCTTCAACACCAGAACAAATGTACCTTGCGTCACATTCGGTCAATGAGGTTGATTTTATTCAGTTTTTATATGACACTTGTTTATATCTTTTATGGTGGGTACGCAAAAGCAGATATCCAACGTCTGGGCTGCCGGGTGAATCAGTGAGAGTGATCTGGGAAGTTAGGTGAACAACATGAAGCACAGTAACATTTCACTGGCTCATGAATGTAGTTTTCAACAGTGTTTGTATGAATCTAGATTAACCTGGGGCTTCTCTATATAGCTTAGATAGTTTATGTTGTTTCACAGCTTGAACATATCCACAATATTGGATTTGAAGGTTGGTCTTCGTGCCAGGTGTTGCATCCTGTACTCCTCCCTGTATCTGACATCGGCAGGGAGCCAGTCATCAGCAGGACTCAAGGCAAGATTCACACTCTGAAAACGGAATGAAATCACTCGCATTAAACATGAAAGAGTCCTTTCATCGTCACATACTCGGCATAATAAGCTAAAGTACAAGGGTCAGAGGTTCCGAGAACTACTCTAACGGGAGGGAATAAGCCAATTTCTGCCAACACCTATGCCGTATCTACCCGAGCCCTGCGCTGCTCTTGGAGGGTCGTGCGTCGTCAGATATACCATGACTAACCAAAGTGTGCACCAGATCGATCAATGACTACACCCCAGTGGCAATTAGTTAGACCATTGGATCAAAATCATTTCTTCCAGACTCTAAGAGAACAGCTTCATATTTACTGCTGAGGCCACGGCTATCAAACCAGCATGGGTATATTTTTAGAAACACAATTCATGTAGCTACTTCATCATTTTCTCTGGCTTACCTACAGACACTTAAAGTCGAATCATCCTCAAATTCTTGATGTATTAGACTCATGCAATATTCTTATCACTAGACGATAAGATGTTGTTTTGATTTAGTTACCTGGTCATTTTAGTCTGACAATTAGTACAAGAGCCGATGCAAAACAAATGGGACACACAAATCGGTAAACATGTCCGTCATTAATTGAAACCTAAATCAGTTTAGACCTACTCAGCGAGTCAATCTAGGTTATAATGCGATGATGCCGGATTGGCCATGCGCGTTTTATACATGAATATTTATTAAAGAGTTTAAATTTAACGTCACATCGGCAATCTTGCAGCCATATCGTGATGAGGATTTGAATAATAAATAAAGTCGCAATAAATAAAGTCAAATTATAAAACTGTCAACGAAGCACAGTAAAATAGCTAGAGGATCACATATATTAAATCAGTACGAAAAACTAAAACTTTTAACTATAGAAGACAATACAATATAAAAACAGACTATACATTGCCAACAACTGAAGGTAGATCACCATACTAGGGACCTTGGTATTACAGAGTGAATATCCTTATCACAGTCATGCACATTTACTTGCTTGTGTAGGGATATATATTATCATTCATCTACTTTGAAGGATATTTTTTAGTAATGTTAATGTTCACATTTATATCTTGATTTTTATAAGAAAACGAATTGTACCATAAATTTGAAATATTTGAATTTTGTTAGAAATTATTGTGACGTTATCAAGAAGTAAGATTAGTGACGGTGGTTTAGCAGTACTGTATAAAGGTTGCCCCCTGGCAGTGGTTCACGAGTCCATCTGAATCAAGGTTTCTGACATCAACTTGTGTTGTAATGTCTAGATAATATTGGTTAAGATTGCACACAACCACTGGTAAACAAAGTGAAGAGGCTAATCCTGCTGGGAACCATGCAGGAAGCAGGCACCGCAAATCCCATTGATCTCCAGGAATATATGACGTTCTAGCTTTGGTTTCTAGTGATCTATAGCCAAGCTGTTACACTAATTAGTGTGCTGAAAACATTATCTTTATTTCAACATTGATATATTTGGGGTTTTATACCTAAAACTGTGATATCTACCTCACTGTTTTTTTGCAGAAAAAATAAAAATGTTTTCATCATCATAAGGCTGTAATATTGTAAGTCCCAAAACATTCAAAGTAAATTTAAACTCTCCACTTTTTTAATCGTAGAATATGTGTACTTTTAATGTATGGCTAGATTTGTTTAAATTGCTAACAGCTGACGGGATGATGTAAATCCAGCTAGGGCCCATGCAGGAAGCAAATGTATAAGTTCCCATGGTCCCTAGTATGGTGATCTACCTTCAGTTGTTGGCAATCTATATCCTTTTTTTATACTGTAATGTCATTTATAGTTAAAATATTTTAGATTCAATAACTAGTCTTAAACTTATTCCTGTGATAATGTAGTTGTTTTGCTGTTTTTTGCAGACAGGTAAGTATATTATAAAAGTTTGTCTTTATTCATTTATAACTTTTTTAGTCACGATATGGCTGAAATACTGCCGTGTGACATCAAATTTTAACTCACTCACGAACTAAGCACGTGTGTGTCTCATATCGTGAGCATAGTTAAGTGTAGAGATATTTCAAGCAGAGTATTAACCACTTGACCATACTGAATGGAGAGTTTACGTTTGTCGCTGTCTGTTAAACACGGCCAGTAAGCTCTTGCTGTCCTATTGTCCAGGTATTACGGATAGCTTTTGACAGGTCTGGGGCGTTATTCAGTGATTCTGTAAGAACAGCCCCATCAACCTTTCCTCCCATGCAATGCTGAATGTGTTGCATTTGGTCGTCATCATCAAGATACGCCTCTGGCCAAACTAAATCGATAACATATGTACCTTCAAGAAATATGTACTAACATTTTGCAGCTTTTATATCTTGCTGTTGCCATATTTTGCAAGTAATGAGAGAAACAGACCCGTCTCCAAAGCAATACGAAGTCTCTCTTAAAACTGATCCATGAATCGATTGTTCAATTCCGACTTTACAATGAATATGCATATGAATCATTATCAAATAAAGATGATTCATCAGGGAATATTGTCGCTGCCATTAAGCTTATATATACATGAATCTTTGAACCGGGTGGTGATCAACGGTTGCATAATGTTTCGAGACATAGAACTAAATTTCATATACACTAACAACGTTGTGCATATAAGACTAGGATGAATTTTAACCCTGGTTACATCAGCAAAAACACAAGAACGCGGGATCAAGAAACACTCTAGTTCCGTCCTTGGTTTTGTAGCTCTGACGTAATGGACCAGGCGATGTCCAATTGTCCATTAAGTCCAGATAACACAAGGACATGTATTACCTTCTTCAGGGAATTTGTCGTCATGTGCTTCCTAACAGTCATGACCATGTAGACGGGTATCGGTAGAAGGGGCAGCACTGCAATAATCCAGCCGATTGTAGAGGCGTAGCTAGGAAACACGTACTTGCCGTAGGTTGGTGGTTGGTAGCGGAGAAGTGTCAGGATGAATGTGATCTGACAGAACAACATCGATGACATATTGGGACTATGTACATCTTTAACTGTGGTTGATGGTTTTTAATATTTGCAACATCATTTAACATTATTTATATGCATTGCTGGAGTTCCATCATGTCATGAAATGAATTATTGGTACTTCTCGATTTTCACAATTTCCCTGAATCAATAGCACGCACAAGGCAGTAGTATCAAGACTGAGAACTGACGAATAATGATCTTTAAGCCTGGAGTACATACTGTCAGATGATCTTGAAACGTCCACTCTCCACAGCGAACACCCATTATCTAATGCCTATATGGTCACTGTGTAAGAAGCCTGTTTTCGGTGTCCATCACTAATATTACTGGAATATTGCATTAATATGTAGGAGGCCTAAACCAATTATCACTCACTGTTAAGACTGCTGGTGTCACAAATACCAGGAGAACCTTGATGAGAGGTGATAGTCGTTTTCCATACATCATCTCCACGTCGTTGGTCATGCGTCTAATTCCTGGTATAAATAAGTAAGAAGTTTAGTTTGAAGTATTTTCTCCTAATATATCACGTCAAGATAATTGCATTTTCTTGTCTTGTTTGTCTGGGAACAGTATCGCTAGTATCGTGTGGTATATACGAACCATATATGCACCCCACGGCAACACACTCCATTGTACAGAACACCAAGGGAGCAAGAGAGGCTTCATACCAGTCCAGCAGCTGGAACATGTACGGCCCTCCCTGAAATATAGTTAAACCTGTATGGTCCCTAGCGGTCCTTGGTATACATGTAGCATCATTAACAGTGTTCTCCTGTTAGTCATCTTATCCGGTGCGACCAACTTTACAATATCACAGCTACATCATGGTGGTCAGTAAATAAGCAAGTCTTGACTAGACAAGTGATTGATGTCATGAGCATTGATCTCCGCGACTGTGGTTCGACGGCAGTCAAGCAAAGCACCCACATGGTCTATCGGATCCATTTAACGTCGTCTTGTGACGACGATACTGTTATTATTACTGCAACCTCTGTGCTTCTGCTTCATCTACCACCACAACCGCAGATGCTACTGCTTCTTCTGCTATTAAAACTTCCCTTTGTGGTACTCAAACAAATTACACTGATTAACATCAACATCCGGCCCACACTGTTCATCGACATCTATTCTGCTACTCCGCCTGGATATTCTCCCATTAAACGCTTGTTGGTTTGTTGTTTTATGCCGCACTCAGCAACATTCCAACTATGTGGTGACGGTCTGTAAATATTCGAGTCTGGACCAGACAATACAGTGATCAACTGCATGAGCATTGATCTGCGCAATTGGGAACCGATGACATGTGTCAACCAAGCCAGCGAGCCTGACCACCCGATCCCGTTCGTCGCCTCTTACGACAAGCATGGGTTGCAGAAGATCTTCACGGGTTATTCTTCCATCAAGAAGGTCCTGTGTATCATATATTGCGTTATTCATCATTGTGTAATCACCTGTGTGCAGAAGACGATTCCAAGAAAAAATAACGTAAGGCAGAATCCTGCTGTTACAAGCATCCTCCTCTTCCCCAAGCGTTCTGGATACTGGTCAACGAACGCAGTAACAACCACTTCAATACCCATGAACTACAAGGAAAAAAAGGTGGTGTGGTGTTACAGTGGAAAGGGAACTCATTCGTTTTATGTGTTTACCTAAATTGCTTTACTGTAGATTTGACACGCATTGAAAACATTATTAAATTAGAAGCATGTATCCAAATTCAAGCTGGCAATATTTTATATATGATCTGTGGCCCACCCTTTGTTGGTTGGATATTTAACGTCACGCTCAGCTATATTCCAGCTGTAGTGTTAGTGTTGATCGGCTAGTGGTCCGTAAATATATGACAGCAGTCTACAAATACTCGATTCGATATCAGACAAGTGATTCATATTATGCTCATTCATCTCCGCAATCGGGATGAGTGAGTGAATGTAGTTTTATTCCAGCTATATGGCGGCGGTCTGTAAATAATCGAGTATGGACCAGACAATACAGTGATCAACTGCATGAGCATTGATCTGCGCAATTGGAACCGATGACATGTGTCAACCAAGCCAGAGAGCCTGTTAGTCGCCTCTTACGACAAGCATTGGTTACTGAAGGCCAATTCTAACCCGGACCTTCACGGGTTCGGGATACGATGACATACATAGACGATGTCAGCAGGCCTGACCAGCCGATCATGTCATGTCTACTTATACCAGTCACAGATGTTGCCGAAGACCAACTGTAGCCCTGATATTCGCCGGTCCTATGGCCTGTGAATTATACACTATACTATATACATACACATTTATCTACACACCCGTTCCTGTTATTCTTTCATACCTCAGAATCTAAGCCAACCATCAACAACATCAGAAAGAACAGGAATGACCACAGCTGAGGGACCGGAAGTTGGGCTAGCGCGTCCGGATAGGTTACAAATCCCAAACCTGGACCTTGAGCACAAATATAGTCATTCATAGAAAATATTACTAACCAAGGATATGACACATACAGTTAGATGGTAGGTTTGTTGGTTAACGCCGTACTCAGCACTATTCCAGCAATATGGCGGCGGTCTGTAAATAATCGAGTCTGGACCAGACAATCCAGTGATCAACAGCATGAGCATCAATCTACGCAATTGGGATAAGTAGTTAGTGCCAAGTCGCATATATATGCATATATAAGTTTATTACATTCTGTTTGCAAAGCAGTTGTGTCGGAACTCTCAGTAAGGCTATGGTGCTTAACTCTGCCTGACAATTGATTTTTTAACCTTTCCAATTAGAGTAAATGTTTCACAAAGTTTACTGAATGAAAAAATAAGAATCATACAAGGCATATTTAGGTTGTTAAAGTTCTCAATTCTTGTCTCTACGACATGCAGATATGTTCCACAAACATGTATAACTCCATATTATAGTGGCAATGGTGGGGAGACACAATGAGTTGGAGGAAAGACCTACTTTGACTTTCGATAACATTGAGGTCTTCAAATATATGCTTACTTGCTCTGTTCCAGAATTGAGAAAAATCAGGAATTTATCGGATTGTTGGCAGAAACAAGACATGAATGTATTAAGACGTTGATAGGTTTTTTTCTCAATTTATTGTTGATATAGCGATCTTTCATCAGGAGTAAAGATATTCACGCTTACATTGGACGTAAAAGGTAAAGCAGTGAAGATTTTATGGATGGATCAATATGAACTTGCCGCACAACCCGCAGCTCCTGACTCGCCTACCTGTCGAAACTACCTTCGCAATGGGGACACCTGTTTTATGTGCCATCACTCCAAGAACAGCGAACGTCACCAGGCCACAAAAGATGCTGGTTCCCTCCGATACCATGGTCAGTATGAGGCAGTCTCTGTAAAATTATATTTTCCAGTGAGCAATGTCAAACCTTGATAAGATACCATTGCTGGAGAATCGTCTTGAATTTCGTGATAACGATATGGACAATAAATAATGTCACATTTTATATATACGACAAATATTTAAAGGGTTCTAGATTAAGTCAAGTATATGCCTTCGATATGCTTCACGTCTGTGGGGGGCGGTGGAGTAGCCTAGTAGTTAAAGCGTTAGCTTGTCACGTCAAAGACCCGGGTTCGATTCCCCACATGGGTACAATGTGTGAAGCCCATTTCTGGTGTCTTCCGCCGTGATATTGCTAGAATATTGCTAAAAGCGTTGTAAAACCATACTCACTCACCTATGTGCTCACTAATCAAGGAGGCTACTAACCTGAGACAAGGTTCGTGGAATTTCTTGTAGCTTGCCGCTGTGCCTATCATTCCCCAGCCAGGACCTAGTGAATAAAACACCTGTAAAGACGCTTCCAGCCATACCTGAAATGAGTGAGTTAAAATGTTACATCGCACCAGTAATATTACAGCCATATCGGGCAGAGAACAACATGTGTTATCCAGTATATGTCTATAAAGGACAATAAAACAGTAAGGTAGGCATCACAATTGTAGGGATAAAACCATCTATATCGATATTAAAACATAGAGCATGTTTCAACACATTATTTAGTATAGATTAAAACTAGCGTGTAGGCCACTAGCAATAAAGCTAGAAATTGAAACATGTTTCGTTTTTAAGTAGTGTGATTTAAATCTAGTTCGTTATATACTTTACATGATTATCAGAACAGTGAAGTATATATGTGGTGTTCACAGACACAATGGAATATAAGACAAATCAGTGCCAGAAAGTATCATGCGGAAAATGTACAATCCGCATGTTCGTCTGCAATATCATCTACACAACTTTGACGGTGTTTGAAATATTCTGTGCGTGGAATCATCAGTGACGCACTGTATGTCAAGCTGTGTAACGCACCTGTATGTCAAGAAGTAACGCACCTGTATGTCAAGTAGTAACGCACCTGTATGTCAAGTAGTAACCCACCTGTATGTCAAGTAGTAACGCACCTGTATGTCAAGTAGTGACTCACCTGTATGTCAAGTAGTAACCCACCTGTATGTCAAGTAGTAACGCATCTGTATGTCAAATAGTAAAGCACCTGTATGTCAAGTAGTAACCCACCTGTATGTCAAGTAGTAACGCATATGTATGTCAAGTAGTAACGCACCGATATGTCAAGTAGTAACGCACCTGTATGTCAAGTAGTAACGCACCTGTATGTCAAGTAGTGACGCACCTGTATGTCAAGTAGTAATGCACCCGTATGTCAAGTAGTAACGCAACCGTATGTCAAGTAGTAACGCACCTGTATGTCAAGTAGTTGTTTGAAGTCGGGGACGAGGAAGTATAGAAGGCCGTCTGTGGCTCCAGGCTTTAGCAATGTCGTGATGAAGATGGACAGCAGCAGGATGTACGGAAGCAGCGCAGTCACATACACAACCTAGTTTCAAAGAGAATACTTCACAGCGTATCCTTTTTCAAAACAATAACCATATGTCTGTAAATATACATAGGGTATATATCTTTCTAGCTGATCATATTGTCCCCAGATGAGAGGAGTCCTAGATTTCTGCGATGTCTTACCTTGCCCGCGGACCTAATTCCATTAATCAGACACAGAAACATGAGCACATATGATGCAAAGAGGCACCCAACTGTGTGCCACTGTACAGACCCCACGTCATCCAACCCGGTCGAGATACTCAGTACATTGTACCTGTAAATAGAAAGGCTCTGCCATAGGACAACGAAACTGCAATTCTGCCTGGCCTTAATCAGCACAGAACCGACTCAATAGGAATTAACAAAACCAGCATGATGGTATAGATAAAATATATTAACAACAGCAATGGATAATTCGATCCCCAGCTGGATGAAGCCAGGTGAGATGGAACAAAATATATCTAATAAAATAAATTACCGATTATATCTTAAGTACATTGAATTTCTAATGCCCCTGGGATCACATTGTCAGCGATGTGCGCTGTCATTGGTGCTCATTTGTCACTCATCAGGCATATACAATTGATTTTGATTATAGATGACATGCAAATGTAATAAATATTAAATGGGACGTTAAACTGGTTGAGTTCTAGTATACAAATGAATATCTGGATGACATTATAAACAGTAATTAAAATGGCATTTTGGTTAGATCGTTTGGAAGGTTCTGAGAAGGATTCCGTTGGTTGTATTGCTTGTTATTATTTTTCATCATAATGTCTACACATAATATCCCTCACAATAAGGTCCACACACTTGTAACGTGTATGTTTGGCCTCTTGGATCTGGGATAACAGAACAATGCAGAACAATTCTTGTTCGACGTTAGGTGTGTTCACAATTACTGTCTTACATCCATTTACACGACGTTTAGCAGGAATGGTGTATACCCTTTCAGTTAGAAACATGTCATCAATAGAGCATACCCAGTGATGTCAGTGTCGTCATAAATATACTATATATAATTGAGAGTGGAGTGGCTCAAATACAGTATGCAGGTCTGGAGAGTGTTTTTAAGAGTGTACAATGCACAATTCTCATTTAGGCACAGGATCGCTCAGTCAACAAAATACGTAGTGGTTGTTACTGTCTTACTGCCAAAATTCCTCAGACGCCGAGTGAGCGAGCGTGACATTTTCCCAACGCTGTGCGACAGGGACGGTTATGTTAACAGTCGGGGAAATGCCGTTGTTGCTGCTGTGGGTGACGTTCCTCAAGTCTTCTACACACAGGTCGGTGTTCCAGTCATTGCCACAAGTTGTCCAGGGCAGGACGCTCGAGCAGGACTTGACCATGTAGTAGATGGGCCAGGCCAGATACAGGTTGTAATAAGGCATGTAGAGGAATGTAAGTACTACACAACCAGTGCCAATCCCTGTGGAAGACAAGGAGACTTCCTCACTTTCATAACTCACAAATGTATTCTTATTGATTTGAATGCAATGGTACAAAGATACTACTTCAAAACATTTAGTGTTCCTGAACAATTTGGTTGAAAGTATAAACATCCAACTTTGTTCCCAACCTGTATTTTACAAAGCATCCGTTGGGCTTTGAATAAGAAACATCAAAGCGCGAAAACCTTTCCCTGATCAAAGGACTTCTATGCTCGGCGTCACCTGTACGATTCCGACTGTATCAAGAGTATTTGATGATCAGTTGATCAAAGGTGGAATAAAGTTAAAGGAACACCCTTGCAAGGTGTCTATTTCTAAAATATCTACATGCTGAGTCCAAAGCTGATGTAGTCTCTGCGGGAGAACCAGAGAGTGAGTGAGTGAGTGAGTGGAGTGAGTGAGTGAGTGAGTGGGGTATGTGAGTGCGTGCGTGAGTCTAGTTTTACGCCGTATATATGGCGGCGGTCTGTAAATAATCAACCCTGGACCAGACAATCAAGTGATCAACAGCATGAGCATCGATCTCCGCATTTGGGAACCGATGACATGTGTCAACCAAGTCAGCAGGTCTGACCACCTGAGATCCCGTTAGTCGCCTCTAACGACAAGTATGGGTTACTGAAGATCAATATTATAACCGGACCTTCACAGGTTTCGTGGGTACAAATGTTGTAACAAGTTAGGTGTAGGGGACGTGGTCGTCAGCATATTTGATTTCCCATCCCAACCGTCATGATCAGTTTCATAGAGACATTTCAAATAAAAACGGATTTCAAAGAAAGCTCTTACTGATAATAAAAGTCAATGGACATATTCTTGTTGGTGGTGTTGTTCAGTAATGACGTCAGTTTTGACAGTATATCGATTCCTACAAATTCTAGTTTTTAATTAACCTAATTCAAAGAATAATTACTATGAGCGTAACGCTGTTGAGTTTGTTATTTCTGCAACCAATGTGGAAGAATAATCTTGACGTCACTTCCGGAATTACATCCAGCAGAAACGTTAGATCTTGAAGACTAAAAGGTGAAGATGTATGGGCATCAACTTTATTGCAACGAACAATGACAATGCAGAAGTTGACATTCACCGTTTAAGTGCATCACTTCTACATGCCGTTCAAAGTCTTTGGAAGATCAAGCATCAGATATCTACATCATGTGACAGTATATTAGATGAGTGTAATGTACGAATTAACATGTCCAGGAAGGTGAAGGTTTTACAAAGAGGCAATCGGAGAAATAATGATGTAATATCCATTGCAGTCATATTACTAAGTCAATTACAAGCGTAACCAACCTCCTCGGTCGTGTTTTAGTCATCCCATTACATTTTTAAACAAGCAATCTTGTCTGACATCAGTGTACGACTGGCTAAGTCAGCCAGACGGATTACTTGAAAACAACCATAGCGTGTTCTGAAACGCACAAAAGTGCATGAAGCACATCATACAATAGAATAGAATAACATCTGCTACCAATTTCATATGGATCTGTAAAAATCTCCCCTGTCTGACATAATTGCTTCTCGTATAGATTGCATAGTTTCATATACTGACTGACTGACTGAGTTTAGTTTTACGCCGCTTTTAGCAATATTCCAGCAATATCACGGCGGGGGACACCAGAAATGGGCTTCACACATTGTGCCCATGTGGGGTATCGAACCCGGGTCTTCGGCGTGACGAGCCAACGCTTTAACCACTAGGCTACCCCACTGCCCCTAGTTTCAGATACATAAGTATCCGACCGGAGATGAGCTGATAGGAACTACTAAAACATTCATGACTATAGTTTCATGGAGACCAACAGTTTACTCACCTCTCTGTCGCAGAATTGCTATTATTACTAGCTAATTGATCTCTGGGTTTGACAGTCCACTATGACCGCCATGTCATCGTGATCCAACTGTTCATTGGCGCATTGTCTGTCCTTGGACCTGTTCGAATGGCTTATCTAGTTTTGCCAGGAGAATGTTAATATGCTCTGAAGTCGGCGGTGCCGTTTGAATCTTGATATCTCTCTTTATCAAATGATCATTAAATTCTCTGTCATTGTCACCCCTGTACGTGTATGTGTTATCCTCCACACGTTGCCTGCTGTAATCATAGTTTTCACTGTAATACGGACCATCGTGCCTCGTTTTGGGGTTACCTTTATGCCTTTGATTTCTGTTTCCCCCACAATAAACCTATCCCTATCTTATCTGATCAACCACTGAGCCCTTATTAGTAGGGCTCTGTATTGACAAATAAACTGTATTGCAATATATTGCGATTCTGGTACCCGTATACCGATACGTATTGCGATATGTTGGGAGCTTCAGTGTTTGACAGTGAGTGACATTGATTGTACATGCAGAGCCTATTTACCTACATACTAAAGCCCTAAAATATATTTAACAAATGTGTGGAATTTAAATTCTATTTTAAGGACTGTATTTTCTTATTTTATAAAGGTTATTGTTTGTAAAGTATATTGTTTTGCCAATCAATTACAATGAAACACTTCAGTGTGAATGAAAGTCTGTGTTGTCTTCATACATTTTATTAACCAATGTACCGGTTCTGAGCAAATACTTTGCAATAGGTATCATTGGAAAGGCGTATTGCGATATGCCTGTAATAACCTGCAATCCTACTTTTTAGCCAGCATATACTCAGGTATCCTACTCAGGTACGTTAAATCGATCTTTAATAAATTGACAATTACCCTGTGATGTTGTCAGTTATCCATTCCTGGCCACCCATTGTGAAGAATAGAGAACACCTGTGTTACACAATTATTTTCTCATCGGTTCAGAATAGATCAGGCGAGACAGCTGTTCCAGTGTTCTGTTTGATTGAAGATCCGCGGCCGAGATACGGCGTCAAACAAGACCCCATCATCCCATTCTAAGATTTCGAAATTCGTGAACTGAATATGATGGTTGGGGAAGCTTTGCTGGTCGCCAGGGCGCATAAAAAATGCCAGAACGTCTTAAACGTTTAACCGAACAAAGACTGTTTACAATCCAAATTGTAGAAAAGAACGTGTCATTGATGGCAATTGATTTTCTTGAATTAAATGGCTATTTTGTAAAGCGAGACACAGTTGTAGCATTAACAATATTTCAATTTGGGTGGTCAGCAAGTTGTTGCGATCGCCTCTTGACCGCGGATCGTGACTTCTGCTTATCTGCAACAGTGTGTTTATTGGTTTTACTGTCGAGTATCAATAGATAAAAAGCGCTTATCAGTTGTAAGCGAGAGTAAATATATTCCTGATCAAAGGAGTAACCTCTCACGATGAGTCTGGTGTACGGAATCATTGTAAATCAGTCGCCGGTAAGCAGTGGTTATTCTGGTTATCTGCTTACAGTTGCTGCTGTTGCTTCAGTGTTTGTCGTACCAAAACGTCTACTACAACATTACGTACAACGAAATCAATGTTTTTAATTCCATTTCACTCATTCAAATTGGCGACACATCAGATTTACACATTGTGTACGTGTACATGTTGATGTGGAACGTCAGTGCAAAACCAATGCCCAATCCTGACTATCTTTCGATTCCACTTAGTGAAAAGGATAATAAATGAGTGAGTGAGTAAGTGAATGAGTTAATGGGTAACGTCACATCATGAGCATTCATAGAATTGGTATTGATGGTAATGATCTCATTTCCAAGTATTCCAGATGATGTAGCTATATTTACACGTATGCACAGTTGATGTATGTTTGGAAATGTTGTCCATCAGTGTGCATACCTGTCTATGATCCTTGCCAGTCTATTTGATCATATCTTTGGATAGCTGATTGGTTGTTGTTTAACGCCGCGTTCAGCAGTATTCAAGCTTTATGACGTCAGTCTGCAAATAATCGAGCCTAGACCAAACAATCCAGTGGTCAACATCGATCTACGCAATTGGGATAGGATGGCATGTGACAATCAAATCAGCGAGGCTGACCTCCCGATCCCGTTAGTCGTCGGTTACGACAAGCATGTGTTGCTCAAAACCAATATCTAACCCGCATCTCCGGAGTCCTGAAAATCAATGATGACACTTGGCGTTCGCGAAGAGGGTTAACATGTCCTGCATTGAGATTTCACCCGGTATAACGTTATAAGGTAATCCATCTAAATAATACAGGCAACTCAAAATATGGTTCAAGAACCATCACACAGAATGCAGGTTTCAGTTCACTGGTGCAAGTTAGGTATCATAGATCAAGTGTGCGCAATATGCACTGTGTGTCTAAATACAGATTTCATTAAAATAGAATATAAGGGTAAAACATATCAACAGAAATGTGCACTGGCCTTGGTACATGGGACAAAAGCTCCAGACTTGTTGGACAGCCTTTCCCGAGAACTGAGAGATTGCTGACTCCAGGAAAAACATGGGGAATCCAGCAATCAGAAGACAAATGATGAACGGAATCAAGAAAGCTCCTGAAAGAAAGTAGACATAATTCTGATGTGCATTCCTTCATAAACACCTTCTCATGACACAGACTAATTCGTACAATGGACCCTAAGGATTATGCCTGTCCAATGTTGTCCAAAACGGTATATATGCTCACATCTGTATTGTCAAAGAGTCCGGTATTCCGACTGTTTGTGTAGGGACGACAGCAAGCAGGATAATGCCTCTCGTAGGAAACGCCCTGAGGTTGAACAGGAACTCGTCTCACCTCATTTATGTCTGAGCCGGTGCAAGATTGAAAACATACCCACGTTGAAAAAGTACCCCGCGGTACTTTTTCAACGTTGAATTATTACCCGGACTCACTTTTCAACGCCCGGGGTCTTTTTTCAACATTGAATAATTACCCGGCTGCTATTGAAAAATAACCCGGGTCACGTATTGAAAAGATACCCTCGTTGAATAATGACCCTCGCTGTTTCTAACACTGTAAACGTACGTAGCCAATTGAAACACCGTTGATTAGCTCTTTAC